TCTCGTGCTTCAGACCACTCCACCCCCGCACGTGACCGCCCGTACAGGCCGTTCTGTGCTCTGTGCTGTCTCTGATGCTCCTGCATTGCCTCTAATTCTCCGATTGCATCCGATTGCCCACTACATTCGTAGTTCGCAGTAGCGGGTGCTGCGCTCTTCCATGGCGAAAATAAATAGGAAAATATCTAAATTTAGACGGCTGCCGAGTCGATTGAAGCGTTTACAGGCTGGGTGGGATGACAGTCATACTGTTGCAAGAGTAGAAAAAAATGTATAATTGTTACATTCTTGTCCTCTTGTAAGAGTAGGGAAATGCATTAGGCTGACAGTTTCACTGGAAACCATTGAATGAGATGTCGTGCTCGAAATGAGGAAGACAATTTTGCCTCGCTCAATCAGACCGAATCCTCAATCTGAAGGAGGATAATTTCTTTGACTTTGCCCTATTGCAGTGAGGAACCTCACTTGGGGACCGCAAATCATGACTCAAATTTAGTCAGATATCTCGCTCTCAGAAGAGCGATATTTTTTGTGTCACTTGATCTCGCTCTCCTGAGAGCAAGACATCTTGGCATCTGACTCTAGCATTTTCAGTGTTGAGTCATGACGTGTGTACGCGCGCGCGGCGCGCGCCAAATGTGTTTGTGTCCTGAAACATCAAACCGCCAAAAAAATAAAATGCAGATGAGCGACAAAGATCAACAAACAACTCGTTTTTCCAACCTTTGTGTGCGCAGCACCGCGGTTGGTATTTTCCGCGATCACCAAAGGCCACGCGCACGCCCATGCCCCCATCGCCCTTTTCGGCGTAGTATAGCTCATGATTATCTGCATGCCTGAATAAAAAATGCAATGTTGCCATGTTTCATCAAGGTCAATTTCAAGAATTTTTGCTATTAGCTCCAATCTAAAATAGATTTGTCTTTTTTTAATCAGTTTAATACATGTGAGGGTGTTTTCAGAATCTTTTTTCGGTCCTTTTTGATTCGTTATGCTCTTCTTCCCGACTAAGCAGAATGCTCTATTATTGGCGAGCGAGCCTTGTAGCCTTCTGAATATGTTGCTTTGTTTATGAGAACAAAAATAAATCTGGGTGGCGGGCTCCCTGGGTGAATCATAAATAAACCGGGGGTGCAATACTTGTGGGTGAATTACATTTGGGCTAAAGGGCTAAAGTTACGCTGGGTCAATCGCTCCTGGGTGAGTGGGCCTAGGTGCACGTTAGGTGTGTGAATTTGCATTCGACACTGGAGAAGTCTCTGATTTGTACTGGGGAATTCATACCATCACTGGTCCTTGTGAACGAATGATATTCACACACCTACAAGTTTGCAACATTCACAAACTTGGTTTTCTAGTTCTTTTTAATTTAGCATCTTCGGGCAGTTTTAATTCCTTTATGTAGGGGTGCTAATTTTCAATGTCTTTGTAGACATTAAAACCCTTTGAGTCCCTTTGAGTTTTGGGGGAGACGCGCAGGGCGTGCGCGGCGCGATGCTGTGAGTAGGCCAGCGACCCCGTCCTATGATGTGACACGACCCATGAACGCGTCGACCTTAATGTCGACCTATAGGCGCGTTGGGCTGCAGCAGGCGGCGGCGTGGCGTCACCGAGCCCCGCGCCTCGCCGAGCCCCCGCGGCCCCGGGGCCGTGTCACCCGCAGCAGGCTGCCGGGGCAGTCACCCCCCTCCCCCCTCCCCCCAATACCATCGTCTTCTGTGTCGCTCCCCTCTGCGGCGCCCTTCTCTCCCTTTCATGCAAAGGAAAAGGACGCGAAAGAGTTGTAGTAAGCAGCAGTAAGGAGGGGGGGGAGGGGGGGGGGGGGGGGGGGGGGGGCAGAAAGGGCGCGAATATTGTAATGGTGTGTGTGTGTGTGAGTGTGTTTCGCGGAAGTCTCTCTTACCACACTACTGGGTGAAAGAGAGGAGGGTGGGGGGAGGACGGGACGGGGCTGAGTTGCAGCAAGAGTATATTGCTCCGCGAACAATGCTTTATCAACAGAGCTGTCGGCTCCGCGGGCTCCGCGTGCGCCGGCCGCACCCCACCCCGCCTCGCCTCATTCAGCCGCAGTGAATAGCGGCCCGCGAGGTGTGTACAGGTGAGACGGTGGTCTAATACACCCCTCAACAGCGACGGGCCGGGGTGAACGCATTCTGCGCGACTGTGTAATCTAATCCCCCCAACACTGCAAAAAAGCAACATCGTCATATTTCCCCAGCATAATCTTGTAAAAAGCTTTTAATAACAACTCTTCCTTTCATGATTTCTGTTTCCAGACGACGAGTTCGGGGAGAAGTCGGTGTCCGTGTCCATGGAGGACGAGGAGTCCGAGATGGTGTTCATCGACCACCCGGCGTGCGAGATGTCGGTGCGTGTCGCTTGATCCTGTTTACGTCCTGTTCGATGTTTATTCAGCGTTAAGCAAGCGTGGCGCAGCGTGGCGTTGAGCGGAGCGTTGTGCTGGGCGCGCGCCGCAGCCAGCCGCCGCCATGCCGGGGACCAGGGCGTCAGCGCGCAAACACGATTTAAAATTCCAATTGTGTCCCTTTATCGCTCGGGGGGCCGCCGAACGCCACCAACCTGGCCGGCGCGAGTGTCGGCCCAGGAGAGCTTTGCCAGTCATATCTTTCTGCTCGCCCCCTCCTCCCCTCCCCTCCAGCAAGCCTTTTGTATAGCGTTGCTCTCTCTCTCTACTTTCATCTCTCGCACTCTTTGCTCCTTTTTGGCCGCCCTGGCGCCGTTTGTGGGCCCCGAGCGCCCACTGCCGGCTCCGCGTAAAAGAATATATATCAGACTGTGAATCTCTAAATGGTTTCTTATTGTAGCCCCCCATCCCCCCCCGCCCCCTCTCTCCGTCTCTTTCTACTCACTCCTTTTGCCTCTCTTCTGCAGTTTTCTCTCCCCCTTGCACAGTCGCTGAGAGCGTGATAAACCGCGGGGACACAGAGGGGCGGCTGTCGGGCTGGCCGGGGTGGGAAAGGAAACCGCAGCGCTGTCCATATAGTGCGCCCCGGTCCCTGCGCACATATAGAAAGTATGAGAAATATATGCCGAGCGGGTGGGGCAGGCGCGGCCGAACGAGGCTGGACCGCTCTCCATATAGTTTTATCGGAAATACCAGCGCAGCCTGCCACGGAGAAAAGTTGGTTGTAGGGGTTTGGCAGGCGCGCTGCGGCCGCCAGTAACTGGTGGGGCGGGAGGCGTCAGTTAGCCACGACCCTGGCAGCTGCTGTGGTGCGGCAGATCGGGCAGCGATCCTATTTGCGAAATTCTATAATCCTACCTCGCTATATTTATCTCTCTCTCGGCATACCCTTCTCCTGGAATTTGCTGGCGGTGTTGTATCGCAATAATAATGCAAAGAATTATGAAGACCTCTTCTCTCTTTCACCCCCCCCCCCCCCCCCCCCCTCCCTATTTCCTTTCCATGTCGGGCCGCCGCCGCGCGGCTGGAGAGACGGGGCTTTGGTCTGATAAAGGCGGTGATTAGGCTTCGATTGGCTCGCTCCGGCTCCGCTCCAGCCCCTCTCCAGAGCCGTGCCGCTGGAGAGGTCTCTACCACTACCCGCCCGGCCCGCCGGCCCAGGCCCAGGCCCAGACCCAGACCCAGGCCACCACTGATGCAATGAAAATTGAAAATTATTCCGCCTCAAGGATCAAGAGGACATTAGCGTCGTGGGGCGGTCGGCCATGTGTTGCCGGCCCCCCCCCCCCCTCCCCCTCCTCATCCCTCGCAGAAAATCTTCTCGCCGCACGGGAGCACCGGCGCCGTAATTAAATTCAAAGTGCCGCCGAGAGTCCACCCTCTATGTTTACCTCGGTATAATACGCCCGGCCGACCACAACCGGAGGCGGGGCGGGGCGGGGCGGGGCGGGTGAGGTTAGCCGTTCGGTGGGGCCAAGAGGGTGAGGCCCTATGGGCCCCCCACACCACGCAAGCAGCAGCGCCTTACTCCCCTCTCCTTCTCGCCCGTCCGAAAGGGAGGCTGGCCGCCGAGCGGGGGGCGGCGGCATAGAGGGGAGGGCTATGGCGGGCGGCAAGATAGGCCCGAGGAGACACGCTAAAAGTCGTGTCACGAAGTATATATCTCGTTAAAACTCCCAAGTAGTTAAAGCGGTTAGGGTGGTGAGGGTTTAACCAACAGGGAATATTTTGGTTGAATTATAGAGTTAGGGAAACCCCGAGACTCGAGGGGAAACGACCTCTTTATTTTTTAGCAAGATGATGCATTTAAAACAGTTCACACTGAAACTGTACAAACAAAGGCATCACACTTAAGTGCGTGAGCTTGATTGTACTCACGCAGAAAAAAAAATATTCAGTTCAGTGCTAATTTTTTTAATAGTACATCGGTTGCTGCCCGACTAGAAAAATTAGCGCGGGTGCTAATCGTGTTGCTGAGTTTATCAATCAAGTTAAACCTGATTAGCACTGGTGCAAATCATGCTTTAGTAACATGATTAGAACGGGGGCCGGTGCAGCTAGATTGTCCGGCCTATTTTTCTCCGACCTGGTAATTTTTCCAAAACCCACCAAAGTGCTGTTCGACCTACTTTTCTCCGACCTCGTCGATATGCTAAAACTTTAGAAGGAAGTACTTCAAAGAGGAACAGGCTTCAAAAATAGAAAGCTACGTCGAGGGACGTATCGTGAAAGCAGATGACACAAGGAAATATGTCTGTGTCCCAATTTTCTCTCGTATTTTGCTGTAATTTGTTTACGTTTTGAAGTGCGGGGAACAGCATATCAAAAGATGACTTTTGGGGAGTTCCTTAGGTAAGGGGTCAGACGGGACTTATCCGCTGTATCGCTCTTTTAGCGACTGCTCACCTCTCTCCCGGTTCGGCGGTGGCGCCAAACGTCCGGGTGCAGGGCGACACTTTGGGTCCATGCTGGACCCAGCCGACCTCTCACCAAAGTAACCCATAAAAGTTATCCCTGGACCTGCACCCGGACGTTTGGCGCCACCGC